AAGTGTGGATAAACTCCGACTATGATTAACTCTATAGACTCTGGAAGCTTCAAAATTTAGAACTCCCACTCATGCTCCTACCAAAATCCTCAAACTCCCGCTCTTCGACTCCACGCCCCTTGAAATCTTATTTTGAAAATTATCTTGCAAAATTAACTTTAGAATTTGTCATCTTTGAAACTCTTGCCATAGCTACAAAATAGGTTGCATGATATTTCCCAAAATTTTCATTTGAAACATTATAATTAAAGTAAAGTGCAAAAAATCGTGAAATTCTACAATAGTCTCGTTATTATGTCACGTTTGCCAGCGTCTCATAGCCTGGTATCCAGAAATTTGATTTCAAAATAAGTTTGTCAACTAAAACAACCCAGTCCTAAAACCGTTTTCTTGTTTGACTTTATTTGGAATCTATTGAGATAAATAAATAGACCTTGAAATGTATAGACCAGATTTCTAACAAGTGCCGATAGAAACTCAATTTTGATCCATTACATACAGAATTCCTATGTCCTACAAGAACTTGTGCCCTCATTTTATTGCATGGATAGCCTTCAACGTCTCCTAATAGGTGTTAAATTTGACTGCAGACCATATATTTTCTGAAATTTCTTTCGAAACTGTTTTACAAGCCTTAAAGGCATTCAGTGTATATTTATGGTTTTATAAAAATATCAATTGTAATAAAATGGTTTTCGTTTCCAGAATCTCGTTTTTTTTTATTTTAACTGTAATATTCTGTGTGTTTACTGTTGTGTCGTGCCAGTAAATAGCTTTGCTACTCTCGTAGTGGTTCGGTCATCGCGAGTGAGAAATTACCATCATGCTAGTATTGTATGGTACTACTGTCGGGTAAGGTAGCTGCCATCGAGATAGTAATTTTATTTACTATTTTAAGGTAAAAAATATTACTACTGGTAGTATTTTAGTAGTAAAAAAGTAGTATTTTTACAGTTTTATAGTAATTTTTGCTACCATCAATCTCTGTTAAATTACTGAAAATACAGTTCATAATACTACCGATAGGGCCTGTAAATTTTTTTACATGGGCCAGTACTTTTGCTGCCATTTTTTTTAGTAAATTTGGAAAAAAAAATTTAACAGTGTAGAAACCCCGACCCTACTTTCAACCAATCGTATTGCTCCAATTACCCAGACAAACAAACCAAACCAGACGACCTTTAACCCGGTCTCCACTGAGTCAGACTCAAGCAATAACTCCTCTCACTATCGATTTTGATAGTAGTTGGATCTGTGATAGTATTAGTAATAGCTGTTGCAATTGGAATTGTCGTTTATTGGAAAAAGAGGTGAAATGAATTTTCTGCACTCCTCCACCCACCTTTTATCTCTCAACTAACCCTTAGTCTTCGTTACAGACAAGGCCACGAAAAAAGTATTGCAATGTCGACCTCAATCCATGTGTATGCAGAGATTGGCGAACCTGTAGATGAGGAAGGATATCTGTCACCAATGTCAAACCCAACATAATAATTCAAATACCGAGTGTGGAGGAGGCATACGCTGATCCGGATTATATTGTCCCAGACAATATTCCATCCCCTCATATGCCATATTTCATGCATGATAGTGTACAGCCACCAAAAGCACCACCCAACCCTACTGTATCTTCAAATCCCCACTCTTCTCATCAAATACCAAGTGTTCAAGGCGTTTATGACGAACCCGATTATGCCCCAACAGAAAATATTACTGCTCCGTCCATATACGATGATACTGGCCCACCAGACAATATCACTGCCCCGTCTATATACGATGAAACTGCGACACCTATTACCCTCTCCGATTATGATGATATCATATAGACGTAATTGCTTCTTCTGTAGAATTCAGTAACTATGAAAATCCCCTGTTAGGAAGAACTTTATTTAAAAAGTGTAGAAAGTGTGTGTCTTACTTCTTTTATGTCATGTAATCACATTTTAAATTTTTCATCAATAATTTGATGAAGTATTTTGTTCATTTCAATCTCTGTGATTTACAGAGTTTTTCAACCATGACTAAACAATTACTGACATTGAGCTTTTAGCAGAATTAATTTTTAAACTATGTCCCGCGTTACGAGTCAAACAAATTCTTGTATTGCTAAAACTGGGTCGCTTGAAAATCTTTTTGGGTTACTTTTTTCAACAAAATTCTAAAATTTACGGATTTTTTTTCTAGTAATTACTTTGTTAATTTTTTATTTTATATATAAGCATTGCTCAGTAAATATATATACATATGGAAAGCATCACGGCGTAAAACGTAAAAACCTGGCGGCATTTTTTTTGCGAAGTGAAACTATACCACTAGTTTGAAAACTTGCTCATGTCTGACAAGCGCAGCTTTCTCACTTTGAGATAGAAAAAAAAGTTAGAAGGTTATTGCATTCAATTATTTACTCCAATTTGCTGTTTTTGTTAAATTGCTTTCAAAGTGCTGCCCGATTGTAAATCTTTTTTTGGTGGGCGGGCCCGTACATTGTACGTCTTTTAACTTTTTTTAAGTTATGCCCGTCTCCCAGGTATCTCTGCATTTTGTTTGTCTGTTTACTTTTTCTATTATTGTATGTCAGAGAACCAAAATAAATGATTGATTGATTTGTGTTTGAAGTTCCATCCTTCTTCTTTACATCTGATTGCTTTTACTGCAGCGGAAGTTTTCAGTGTTTTTGTCATAAGATGTTTCAATCTTTAAGTCTGAATAAGGCTCTAAACTCGGTGAAGTGTTCCATTTGACTCCGAATAGCTGATTTTGCGGCCAAGTTGGGTATAAATTTAGAATCTGACAATACCTTGACTAAACAGTTTGGCTCTGACAATGCATTAGCTAAACAAGTCGACTCCGACAAGGCCTTAGCTAAACAATTCGACTCCGACAACACTTTGGCTAAACAGTTTGACTCTGACAAATGCCTTGGCTAAACAGCTTGACTCGGACAAGACCTTGGCTAAACAATTCGACTCTGACAAGCCCTTGGCTAAACAGCTTGACTCGGACAAGACCTTGGCTAAACAGTTCGACTCTGGCAATGTCTTGACTGAACAATTTGAGTCCGCCAAGGCCTTGGCTAAACAACGTCAATCCGACAAGGATCTGTTTTACAATTTGACTCCAAAAAAGCCTTGGCTAAACAGGTTGACTCCAAAGAAGCCTTGGCTAAACAATTTGACTCATACTCGGATACAAATTTTAATTCCTAGCTTTACACTTTTGAAAATTTTACCGTGCTGCTGCGTCTCAAATACCAGCGAAAAAACATCAAACTCTTGACTTTTCAGCCCTGCTTCGAATCAAGTTTTGTTGAGTGTATTTGTTTTATTTCACATAATCAGATTTTGAATTTGTCATTGAAATTGAGTTAAATAATTTGTTCATTGTAAGCTTTGTGATTTCTAGAATAATTCAACCATATCCAACCTAATCAATTTGTCTTATTCCTTCGCCAATTACCTTACTGAGTCACCAACTGTCTCAGGGGTGAGTGAGAAAAAAACTCGTATTGCAAAATTACCTGCCATTTGACCCATTTAAATAAAATATTTTCATACAAATGGCTTTCATAGGCGCCCGACAACCGCTGACTCTTCTTAATGCATTCCTGATAAGTGCGGCATGCCCGTAGTTATAAGAACGAAACTTTTAGAATGTAAATGAATTTTTGAATGAACGGGATTACACCTGTACGTTCGTTTTGCGTTGCTGATATAGTAAAGATGGCCTTCAATTTTCTCAACTAATTTGAGTGTAGACTAAAGTTCCGCTGTGAAAACAAAAAAAAATTGCGGTTATAGTCCCCTTTTTAACGGAAATGATATATTTTTCTAAAAAATAAACAGAATATTAGTTGTAACGATTACACAATCTCGATACGCCGATATGCGAGACAATTGAAGATGAGGGCACGTCAGAACGATATGACGTGACCAGAAAACTTTGAGTGAATATTAAAGTTGACATTTTCAGCTTGCAGGGTTGCGCAGACCAAAAAAAGCAAGGAATATAAAAACTCTTTCACTAATGTGGTATATCGATCGTGTGGCAAAACAAGCGTTTTAGATTACGATAGATATGGTGAAAAATATAAATGATTGTAAGATTAAAAAGGAGAAAAACTTGATCATTATAAAAAATTACACCGAGTTAAAAAGACTGCTCTCAAGCATGTTACGTTATCTGGTGAATAATACCGCTCTTCCCAATTTTAATTGCTATGTCAAAAGCTTTTGACAAATTGACCTGTCAAATGATCAGTTAACAACTTTTTCCCGATAATTTTAAGCTTTAGGCAACATACACCATGTTTCGCTCAATGTAAAATATGGCAGCAAATTTTAAACTATCTATTATTGTTAATTCTCTACCGGGACCAATGTGTGCAGAGCCCCAGAAACGAACAGCAGGAATGTTTTACGACTCATTAACAAAATCGGGAAATTTTTTAACCGTATCATTCCTAAATAGAAAAGTAATGCTTATTAACTGACAAACACGAAATTCTGGCATCATGGCCCTAAAGGTGCGTTTACACTGGATGCGTCGCGACGCGTTGCGAAGTGCGCTCGAGATCGCTCTCCATTGTTCCAAGTGACGCCGTTCACACTGAAAGCGCGGCACCTAACGACGACGCGCGGTGCCGCTGCTGATTCTCTCGCTGAGCGTTTTTCGGCGCGACTGACCTTCGAATTCCACGTGCTTTTTTGCGGCGGTGTCGGCTGCTTCCCGTGGGAAGTGGTTTTACATTCTGCTTAGATCAGAAGGTACCGCATTTTATAACTGCAATATCAAATTAGGTACCGTTTATCGTAATTTATAAGTTAAATATCCAAATTAGGTACCGTTATCTAGGTCAGAATAAAATTGATTGCAAGTACTAGTGAAGGATTGTAGTCTTTACTATTTGCATATACCGGTATGAATTCTAACAACAATTGTATTTTGAATTCATTACAAACTTTGTTTCACAGTCATGTCGTTTGAAGAGCTTTTATAAATGAGGTGAAATCTAGACCATGTCTGTATGACATGAGTCGTCACGATTATCGTGATGTTAATATCAAATCCAACAATTGGGCGGAGATAGGAGCATTGCTCCATGTTACTGGTTAGTTACTTTTATTATGGCATTGCTGGATTTATCTTGATGGCAAAATCACGTTGTCTAAAATATTTTCAAGTACACCAAATTGAAAATAAAGCTTGCTTTGCTCAACTAACACCACAATCTGATAATGCTATTTAGGACAGCAGGCAAGAGAGAAGTGGAAGGCGTTGCGAGACAGATTCGTCAAGATGAAAAATAAAAATGAAAGTACCATGAAGTCAGGGGCACCCGGAGGCGTTTCAACAAATAAATGGCATCTATTTGAACACATGACTTTTTTAGATTTCTTCGTGCAGCATCGAAAGTAAGTTATTTTGCATAAAATCGGCACAAGAGTAAATATTGAGCTGCTGTGATATGTTACTATGATGAAAAGTGTGTGCCTATTTCAATGATATATCTATCACATGTTTTGAAATGATCTGTTAAATTTGGTACAAGTTAAATTTTTTATTAATTTGAAGTTATTTCAGGACCTTTTCTATTTCATATTTCAGAACGTCTTCAAATTTAGAACTTGTCACTCTATCAGCTGTGGTAGAAGGGGAAGAAGTGTCTGGGTCATCTTCTGTCGCACCGACACCAAAAAAAAGGAAGGAAGAAGTGAACATGCGGATTTTGAAAATTTTTGAGGAGGAGAAGGATGGTAATTTTTTTAACCTTTTCGAACATCGTTTTTGTTTCATGTTTTATCTACGGTCACACATGATATGGTGTGATCGAGATTAGTTTATTATGTGTAGAATTAAAGGAGCGTATGCCATAGCATGCTCATATAGACAAGACAGCTACCGTATATACTCGCCTATAGGTCGCAACTTTTTACCTATTTTTAAAAAAAAATATAGGTGTGACCTATCCGCTCGACATACAGACGATTTTACAAAAATTTGGATATAGGCCATTTCTACAAATCGTAACACGCCGCACGCATCTATTACAGTTGACCTGGTTCTAACCATATAAAATTATGAGCGTCATTAACATATTTTGATTATATTTTGCCCTACAAAAAAAACAAAATAGGAAGATACCTATGCAAAAATCTAGGAAAAGGGCTTTCTAAATCCGTAGATTTTCAGTTTGACTTATGTGCGAGTCAAATCAAAATCAAACTTTTTTAACACAAAACTAATAGTGCGAAACACAAAACTAATAGTGCGACCTATACGGTGGTGCGACCTATAGGCGAGTATATACGGTATGCTCAAATATTTGGCGAAAAAAAATAATAGCCTTCTCGGGAAAAATTTTATCTTTAACCAATGAAAATTTCAAAACAATTGGTCCAGTAACCAAAGAGAAAAGCGATTTCTTCTGAACGTGTCAAAGAAGAACAAGACTAAGTCTAAGAACAACAAAACGTTCACTATGTCCACTACGTGTCCAATAAACACGTAATGGTATAGAATATTGATACTATATATATTTATTTGTAGATGATCCAGACAAATTCTTCCTCTTTCACTTCTACCACAGCTGAAAAGACTGTCTCCTGAGCGTGCTTCATCAACAAAGATGAAAATCATGGCAATTACTCCATGAGGCTGAATTTGAGAAATGATTCAAATTCAATTTCCCACTTAAAAATTAGAAAATTAAATTCAAAACGTTTTTATCTTAATTACAGTACATTACTAGAATTTAATTGACTCCGTACAAACTTGAGCAACCTTCTCTAAAACAAGAACTCAATTTTCTAAAAAAATTTAATGTTTTTTATTGTTAGTTTACCTCAAACCATTTTATATTGTTCAGGCAGTATGCTTTTTCATTTCTGGCTATTTCTCATTACAGCTTCATGGAGTATTTGCATGATTTTCATCTTTCTGCTGCTGTTTATTTTCTTTTTATCAAGCACAAATTCTTTTTCAATTACGTTTATTTTCAAATATTCTTTGATGAAAAATTTGGATTATTTTCCAAATTGATTACAGCTTGAAATATTTTAGTGTAGCGTGTCAAATGTAAAATTTCTCATTCAGTAATATGTTTTTTCGATGGTAACCACCTAAGCTAAGATAAAAGGAACTTTTCATGTCCTTCTGACTCTTTGAAATTGCCAGGGGCAAGCTCCATCAACCATGAAATAATTTTTAAAGCTGTCGCGAACAGCCGCCGCCGCTACACTATTTCTGCGACCTTGCCTTTGCAGGGCAAAAAACTGTTATCCTCTTGTACCCGCCAACTTCCTCTGTTATGTTTCCCTCCAGGTCTTCCCTATCCACTTCACCTGCATCTATCAGTGTATGGCGTCTTACATAATTATGCAAACAACATGCTGCCTTCAACAACCAACTCTGCTTTTGTGGCGACACACCCATGGGCCTCCTAAAAACTCTCCACTTAGCACTCATTATACCGAATGCATTTTCTACTACTCGCCTTGCCCTGGATAGCCCTGTAGTTGAAAACTTTTTCATCAATTGGCAAATTTCGCCCCGGGTATGGTCTCATCAGGTGCTTCTGTAGTGGGAAGGCTTCATCCCCACTATCACATAGGGAGCCTTTTTTGAGCTGTTAGTAAGTGTTGTTTCATCCGGCAAATTCAGGGCCCCTTCATTCATGAGCTTACCGAGAGCAGACTGGGAGAAAACACTTCCATCACTCTGCTTTCCGTAAGCTCCCACATCGACAAAAACAAAATTATAATTGGCGTCGACAAGGGCCATTAGCACAATGCTGAAGGTGTGCTTGTAATTGTAATAAAGGGACCCTGAATTCACCGGTGCTTGAATTTGTATATGTTTCCCATCTATGCTCCCTATGCAATGTGGGAAATTCCACTTTTTCTCATACTCTTCAGCGATTTGCTTCCATTTTGTAACTGTTGGCGGGCTTAAATATTCTTTTTTGAGTGATGTCCAAATTGCCTCACAAGTTTCTGTAACTATTCCTGAAACTGTTGATTTTGATGTCCTATATGAATCTGCTATTGTGGTATAAGAATCCCCTGTTGCTAAAATCTGAAATATGATATATGTGCACTTTTATTTGATGTTATGTTTATTTTGTTTTTAATAGTTCTATGTGGATGTGTTATAATTTGAATATTTTCTTCCACATACATTTTGCTACATGGTTTGAATATACAGTAATTGCTCACCTTAATGTTATTCCAAGCCTCTCTTCAGGAGATATAGGTTCTCGGAAATTAGTCGTGGTTTAGTTATGTAAGGAGCCACTAGACTCCTCAGGTCATCAAACATACCAGGGTCCAGGCGGTATTGGTTACGAAATGCAACCGTTCTTTCAAGTCTCATTTCTTGGACAAGTCTATGGTACTCACCTGCGTAGAAAGTATTATTAAATGAAAGATAAATGTTTATTCAACTTCAAGCTCTACCGTCTGTTCAATACACAGGTAGATGAAGAAAACAGTATAAGATAGCCTATGATTAATTAATCTTATATTAGTATTTTGAGGAAAGACCACGCAGTTTCATAGGGCGATGATTTGAACTTACCAAGCTCTTTCCTTCTTTTTAATATGGGATGAACCCAATGTTCCCTTTGCTTTTGCTCCGTATTGTTTGCCAAATAAAGGGCGATTGCCAATCTTTTCCTTTTCGAAAGTGGCATATTTGTAAATTTTGTAGCGGAGTGGGAAGCAGACGAAATTCTAGCTGAATTTCCCGCGTCAATGTTCCTAAGCAACCGCCTCTAGCGCCCTTGAGTGGTGGAGAAATGACGCGCGCTATGTAAACACCTGCCCCGCGCGACCAGAAGCCGCGCCGCGACGCATCCAGTGTAAACGCACCTTAATATGGACATGCGCCGAAATGAGGTCGGTTGGGCTTAGGCCATAATTTTATTCTGATTTTCCTTATTTTAGTTTTATTACGAGTTCGAGGACTGTCTGTGTTGGCCAAGTGAATATACCCCCTTGTCCATAGGTTTCAATTCCTTTATACAACTTGATGTAAAATAGGCGAACGAAATTAGCGACCTCTATTTTGATACGCACACTTCTGGAGCGCCCATATTTGTTACCGGTAATGACATTGTTAGACTGTTCGACTTGCATATTTTTCGTCACGGCTGGTTGGTATAACAGTCTCAAAATTTACACTAAACTCAAGATTTATACCAAAATAAAGCCAATCTGAAAATATTTCCCAAAATATATTAAAGTATTAATTTGCTATTTGATTAGGGCAACTCTTTACTGGGTCAGGCCTTCGATAGCGAAGAAGATAAAGGAAAAGAAAAGACAGCCACAATGATGAATTACTCAGCCGCCGTTTCGTCAACACCTGATACAGAAGAATCATCCACGTAAAGCAGAAACTCAAGAACACGGACTTTGTTTCTCAAAGCTGAGCAGGACCTGGATGTCGCCGGAATAATGAGGATTCTCCAAAACAACGTAACCACAATGGAATACTGCAAACACATAAACGGACTCTTCAAAGGTCGAAAAGAGGCACATGGATTTTGATGTTTGCTGCCACAGAAAATCCAAGTGCAAGCAGCAGAGAAAAGTTCTTGCATTCTACCAGTGGCTAAATAGGAACAAAAGACACACTGATCTCCGTCACTTTGCCTAGCGATGCTCCAATTCGGATATTGATAAGGGGTATACCTGAGGAACAACATATAACAAAGCCGTAACAAAAATCGAACAACTTTGAAAAGTACGGAATGCCTTCAAAAACTGGCATACAGGTACGAACATTTACAATGGCCATACCTCCTTTATTTTTAAAAACTTTAAAAAGGATTATTTACCATATTACGTAGTAATCGACGGGAACAGGTGAAAAACCCACCTACCCGAGAGTTGTACGTGCTAACCTGCGGGAGATGTCACAATTACATAGAGTGTGAGAGTGAAGCCGTCTGTCGCTATTGTAAAGAACTGAGCCACGTTCAAAAAGATTGCCCATCCAGAAGAAAAGAGTTTCCATCGCTTTCTGGTCTTGCATAGACGATTCCAAGAAGGAGAAAAGAGCGAACAAAAAACGTATCCCACTCGGGACAATAAAATCAACCAAAATGCTCCACAGCCTGCAACGATTTCGGAATTACAAAACGACCAAAATGCTTAACAACCTGCCAGCAGACAACTATGGCATAAGACTTAAACAGTTTATTGGGTATATTTGCCCAGACGAGGTGGAACTGCGTTCTGACAACGTACACAGTACGTCTAAACCGTATACCGCGAGAAATGTAAAAACTATGATGCGGACAATACAGACCCTGCAGTTTTGGACCAATGTTGGTCCAGTCTGCAAAATGATAAATTTCTTCGGTATTCAAGCTGATGGGTCAACGGTGAATGAACGAAGGTTGACTTACGAATGTGAGCTGATGTGCAAATATGACTGCAAAAAAAATATAGTGAAAATTGCAACAACGAAATTTCGGCCTCAATTGTTCAACTGAAATGAAAAGGCCTAGTAAATCACAGCTCAGCATGAAACAGTCAGGTAACAGCATTGGGGCCCAGTGTATGTACGGTGGACTGCCAACCATTTCCATACTTGAAGATTTTTACAAGCATATGAAGAAGCATCAATGTTTCAACATTTTTGTGTATCACTGATTTCGAAGAAAACGATAACGTGGTAGTTACAAAGCATTTTCACTTCTCGCACTTCAAAAATATCGTGTTGCTGGTTTCACACGAATCCACGTGAGATAATGGAGCAATATGGTAAGTTGTCTGCGCTGTTTCCATTGGTCTGAAACCAAAAATTGGAACACCATTAATAATAGGTAATGAATGCCAATAGTTGTTGATCTTGGTGCTTACTTTTTGGGTCAAAAAGGGCAATCTCTGGTCAGTTTTTCTTACCAATTTTCCTTCCGTGATTTCTGCATGCTTGTCGAAAACCAAACCGAACTTTGAAAAATTTCCTCGGAGTATCAATGCGTATTAAGTAACAATCAATGAACGACTAAAATGTATCTTCCCTATACCTCCAAAAAAGGCTTACAGAAAATATCCGACAATGTGAGACAGATTGGTCAGAGCAAAACCAAAACCAGAAAAACCAAGAAAGGTACAATAGGGTTTTTTATAAATGCAACAGGGAAGCATGCACCACTTGTGAATATTCGAAAATAAAATGAGCACAGGTAACGTGACGGGAATCCAGATGAACATAAATCGAAGGATATGTTGCAACTCAGAAAATGTCATATACTTAATAACTTGTAAGAGGTGTGGCATGCAATATATCGGCGAGACAGGCAGACCATTAAAGTAACAAACGAGAATATCGTAAGAGACCGAAGACTTATTGATCGAAAGTTAGGGGATACCCCAAAACAGCGCTCTTACTCTATAGTGACACCTCCACAGGCAAATGGCTAAGTGTAGGTACTAATAACTTTTCGTTTGCACAATTTGTTACAGCCCATCTCACAATCAAACCAAAAAATGACGTAGGCCCACAACTTTCATAACATAAATTAAACAACTCTAAAGCTAAAAAATAAAACAACCAAATTAATCAACGAATCTGGCACCGGCCTCCGTTCGACTGGC